ATTTGGAATTTTAAAAAGGGCACTTATCATGAATTTCAGTGGCATTATATAAATATTGGATAACTTTGGACCTAAACTGGGATTTCCGCTGATAACAATTTCCGAGACTTGATTGCTAATTACATAAACCTTTGGATCATCATAAAAGTTTAGTTCTTTTAAAATTTTTAAAAGTCTATATTCCGTTCTAGTTTCTTCGAAAGGATTTTTACAAAAGTTTAGTAAGTACCTTAAGTCTTCATAATTTGGATGATCAGTTATATATTTTTCAATTGTACATGAAATGGATGAAAGCAGAATTGAAACAGAATGTTGTATTTCTATAACATGATTTCTAGGCATATAGCTTTGACCATGTAATTGTAAAGACAGATATAAGGTTTTCTTTTTCAAAACATTTAAATCCTTTTCTATTGTATTGTTGTTAATAACAGTTTCACTGTTTGTATAATCATTTTCTTTTGATGATGACATTTCAACTGGCACATTAATGGCTTTAACCATTGGTGGAGCTTTTGTGTGATTCTTGTGAAGTTTTTCTAAATGAATTCTGAATGACGTAAATTTTGTAAATGTTTGCTTACAGTTGTCCTGAACGCATTGTACTTTTAAAAATTTAGTGGACATTAAATGGTCTGTTTTCAAATGAGCTATTAAAAGATTTGCCTTATCAAAATGCTTACGGCAACGAAAGCAAATATACATTTTGAATTGTACTTTAATTATTGTTGCAGAAATTAATAAGTGAAGTCAAATTAACTGATTTTATATCATATACAGTATTAATTTCATAAAAATATTTTTGGATAAAAATCCATGGAATTTGGCAGGCATTTGGATATTTTAAAGAAAGTGCATGAAAAATTTTAAAACATGTATCTAAACATTCGAGGAACGATTGAAATTTTAACAAATTGTGGTTAAAAAAAACATAAAAACCTTTTATATTGAAATCGGACAAACCCTCCACAATTATAAATGGCTGTATAGTTAATCCAGCATTGTAATACTTTTCAGTGACTGTATCAATTTGCCTTTTATAATCGTTAATTGTCGGTAGTCGCAGTACGAAACTTTTCTGCGAATCAGCTATTGTTACTTTTTTTCGTAATTTACCGTTTCCACATTTAAACCTAGCAGGTGATGGTAAAACTGAATTCAACAGTATTGCGTATATATAATCTTGAGCATCTGCAACCGAAATATAAAATAAATATTACTTTTAATGTTTATGATAAATCAGGAATTAAAATTTACCTATGCTGCTTGCCGTCAAAACATTTGCGAAGAGTTGTTTGCAATGTTCGTTATGAATATTTTTCCCATAATAATTGTAAATTTTTTTCTTAAATTGGTCCCATTTAGAAAGTAGAAGATTGCCTTTCTGTGGATACATAATATCGAAATCAATGTTGACCTAAAACGAAACATTAGTATCCATATACAAATAAATAGCTCATGGCTACTTACCAATTCTGAAGCTCTTGCATCGGACAACTTCGTCCATTCAAGGAGAAATGTATGGCTACTTAAATTTTTTATATCTCTTTGCCGTATGTTAAAAGATCTTTTCCATTTTTCGCAGATCGATCCCCAATCATTACATTCTCTTAGTAAGGAAGCTTTCAATGAATTTTCAACTGATTCATCAATTTCGGGAACATCTTTGTTACAAAAATTAGGAGATGTGTGAGTTGCTGCTTTGCTTGTGCTAGGCTCGGAAATCAAAAGCTTTATTCTTTTGGACTTCTTGTTTCTATACTTGGCATAAAGTTTTCCGCTTGCGTTGTTCTTTCCTTTTCTTGAAATGTAATAATAATCCTAAAAATAAAGACATATTATAAGTTAAGAAACTACATAATCAGATACGTTGTTTATATTGTTAATCTTACCCTCATTTCGTTTTCAAGAGGAAAAACGGAACAAATTTCATCCAATATGCGCATATAGTCTTGAGTGTAAAGAGTAACATTGTTGGTTAAAATATCTTCAATAATTATATTAATTATATCATCTCTTTGCTCGTCACTTAATTTCTTATTAACGCTACTACATTCAAGCGCTAGTTTCCCCTTCGAGGTATGTGTTAACAATTCCGTTAGATCCTATATTAAATAAAAAAACTACATTAACTATGCTTACACAAATATTACTCTTACCTTACCTCTGACAAAATTCCTTTGGCTTTTGAGCAGTTCGAACCTGTAGTGTCGGGAGTACCAGGAGTACTTGCAGGTGTCTCGTTGCGTTTCCACCATTCACCTATTTTAGATGGAACTGACATAGTTTCGTCATCAATCCCGAGCTATTGTTATGACAATATTAATACTGAGTTCAACTCTGTAAAACAAATAATACGTACCTTTCGTTTTTTCCAAGCAAAGAGCTTTTCTCTGAATTCAACACGCAGTCCCAATGGTGGCACTGCTTCCTTTAAATCTTCTTTTTTCAAGTACTGCAAGCTGCGAAATGTTACATGTGATGCTAAAAGAACAAAAAAGAAAATTCTTTGTTAATTACACTGATTAACTGAAAAATTCATTTTTATTTACTTACCTTTTAATTGTTCAAAAAGCGACTCCATATTTATTCCTTTTAAGAACTCCCTTAACATATAATCGTCCTCATTGTTTTCCGCATCTTGACTGCTGCAATGGTTTGTATCGCGAACCACAACAATATTGCCATCGATTTCTAACAACTCACCAATGATATTTTGAGGATCTTGCGAATTATTATTCATTTTCAATAAATTTTTTGCACAATGCGTCCTTTCTCTTTCAATAACACGGAAAAAATGGTAAATATGCAGCCGATTGCACACGAGTAAAAAAAATGACAACGGTGGTGCATGATTCATACACGGTAGTTGCTAAAATGGCAACGATCGTGTACGATTCATGCACGTCGGTGTACAAAGTAACAACGGTGGTGCATCATTATGCAGGTGGTGGTGCATAATTCATACACGACCGGTGTCATATTGACAACGACCGTGTGTGAATCATGCACCACCGTTGTCATTTTTTACTCGTGTGTAATCGGCTGCAATTACCAATATTACAAATGGACAAATTAAGCACGGCTGTTGTTGGTACCGAAAGTTGACCACGTCTCGGTGTCAATTTGAGCACGTTCGTGCACAATTCACCAACAGCCGTTGTTGAAAAATATAACAACGGGTCGTTGCGAAAATGACAACATACGTGCTTGATTTCGCAACGGGATTTTTCCCTCAGTGTAGTATTCAATGGGATACCCCATTACATGCAACAATGGACTTGTAAAGAATATTTTCCCAGGTTCTCGAATGAGCTGGTATTTGCATTTTATGTTGGATTACAAACCGGTATAGACCTCTTATTTTAGATATATTTTCTAAACACATCAGTTTTAATTTGGCGTTTCAGGTTTAAAGACGATATAAGCCCTTAATACATTATTTCCTAGAACAGGACCATTATTTGCCAATTCGCGATAGCTTCTCATATTCCATACTTCGAAGGCATAAGCTCTAATTATCAAAAAAAAAAAAAAATTGTCCAGAGCTCTAAAATCCTCGCTCGAATTCGTGAAGAGAGAAAAAAAAAGAAAAGCAAAATTCCCTCGAAATTGAGCGGGAGGAATCCTGCGAGTAAAGCAAAGAACTGAAGTATCCTCAGTTTTTTATTCTACTCCGATAAAAGCGAGTACGCTTTTATGGTTTTAGGAGTGAAATTCGCTTCAAATCAGATTCTATAACTTTTCCAACACCAAGCGGTAAAATGAACTACAACAAATAATGCACATGATAGTGCAGTTGCAGTTGCTTTGTACACATCCGGCCTCTTGCAATATTTTGCTTTTGACGTTTTTCTCTCCTTAGTTTTCTTCACAATCTCTGTCCCCAGCAACATCTGAACCTGACCAAGTACCTTTTTTCTGTCGATTTTACTCTCATTTCGGATTTTTTTTTTCAAACAGGAGCACTCGCGAGCGCTCTTACAAAAAAAAAATAGTGGCGAGTAACATTCTTGCAAAACTCGTACTCGAGCACTACTGTTCCCAAGTATTTTTGACTCGCTAGAAAACGAGAACATTTTTTTTTTGAACTCTGTCTATCATTTGGCAACTTGGATTCTCATGGAATTTAAATTCTATCTACGAACATTTTTTCATATCGGTTTTCATTCCAACATAAGATCCATTTTGCTGGAACGGCCGATTTTGGGATTTGTAAAGGTCCTGGCCCAACCCAAATTTGATTATTGGAAATCTTAAATGGTAGAAAACATATTTTTGTGTAGATCCAGGCCTTTGGAATGGAACCATGTTAACTTATTAACGACATTCTCCAGTTATTTTTACTTTAGGGTCCTTATTAAAATATTTCAAGTGATAAGTCAGAACTTGGAATTTTTGGTTCGTAGCCGGTAGAAATACTTGGGAAAATATTTAGTATAAACAAATCGTGACCATCCACCCTGTAATGTTATCTCTTTAGGATTCTTAGGAATTTTTGATTTGGGTATAATTGAAGTTTTCAAATGGTGTATAAAGGCCGGACGACATAAAGTTCCATTTTATAGAAACCACGTTCTAAACTCTGCCACATTCCTAGCCCCTCTTCCCTAGCACTCTGTTGTAACTAATTTCATTCAAGCATGAAATACATTTTTCCCTTAGGTTCTCAGCATCCTTTTTTGTTCCGCATACTCGAACAATAAATGAAATTCTCGAAAAACTTTTTCAATTTATGACGACTACAAAATTATTATTTGCCTCGGGGGCAGTCAGGCAATGAAAACAATTGTAATTTTGTTTCTCAATTTGTGGCTTTCTCTGCTACCGAAAAGTAAACATACGAAAAGGACGAACAAGAGATATTATTTAACTAGATTTCGAGAATGGCCACTCTTCATTCAATAAAAGAAAAATATTACAACATCTTTTTTTTGTTTAATAACTAATTTGTCTGTTTGCTAACCCATCAACAAATAAAACATTTTTTTCGATTTTAGGTTTGGTTTCAAAATCGCCGTGCCAAATGGCGTAAAGCGGAACGCCTCAAGGATGAACAACGCAAGCGTGAAAATGGCGACTGCAGCAGTGTTTCATTGGATAAGGTAAATAAAAATATAATACAACAATAGGAAATAAAAAAGCAACAACAACAACAATTGATGATAGCTATACGCATTGCAACAATAATGCAAATGTGTAGCGGAAAATTGATGGGCACTAAAGGGAAGGGGATAATTGCCTTGGGAAAAGGATATGTGAAAGAAAAAATAAAAACTGGTGTTTGAAAATCACAATTCAGGGGCTAAATATTGAATATTAAAGGGAGGCAAATCAATATCGAAAGGGGTGAATATCTGAAATATCATATGAGGGCAACATCTCTCAGGAATATTTTAAAGAATGAACTCAGGAGGGAAATTCAAGAACTAGGGAACTATCCCCTCCAAGAAGTAACTTACATTCCTAATATTTCTTTAAATATTTCCAGCTCCATGACAGCCGCGAATCATCGCCGGACATAACCGGTGAAATGGATGACGACGAGCCACATCCTCGCTCCCACAGCCCGGGACCAGGGTCGTCACACAGTCCCCATGGCACAGGAGCTGATTCGGACAATGAACGCCCCTTGTCCTCGAATCACATGAACAGCGGCCATTCTGGCTCCCAATCGATTGGATCCATTAGTGCCGGGTCACCCTCACCTGGGGCTCGAACGCCACGCAATCCCACAAATAGTCCTTCAAATTCACGCAATACCGATTCACCCATTGAGGTGGGAGGCCCAATATCATTGGCCACACGTTCAAGTGCCTCCTCAACGGCACCAACAACAACGACAACTCTAAATACAGCGGCATCGAATCATCATTTCGGTACTCACATCTTTGGCTCATTCGGCAGTAGCAGTAGCAACAATGCCATGATGGCCGCAGCGGCAGCAGGAACAAATGCCAGCGGAGGAAATGGCAGTGGTGGCAATAACAATGAAACGTAAGTAGAAAATAGAATGGAATAAAGCGAGAGTGGGGGGTGGGTGGGAGAAAGGGGATCAATAAAATGATTATCTGTTCGTTAATGTGAAACACGTGACCAAACAATTCAGGCCTCATTACATTTCGACAAACCCAGCAGCGGCGGCAGCAGTCGCTACGAAACTCTTAATGTATCCGGCGAGAGTGATGTTTCCGCTAAAACTAAGAACGTTATCCGTTTAAAGACTTTTTAACACTCGGTGACTTTGTTGGCAAAACAAACATGGTCCAACGCCGGGGTGCACACGCGCACAGGACGACAATAGATTTCATGTCGTTTTTGTTGTCGTGTTTTTTTTTTATTTTTGCGACAAAAGAAGGAAACAAAGAACACAATGCGAACGTGTGCCCACCATTTACACAACGAGTCCACAATTATGTCTGGGCAAAAATCACCGCTGCGAAGATTTTTGGAACAATTCACAGGAATTTTGATAAATCAATTTGGGGAGAAGAGTATTGGGTAATTTTTGGGTGCACTGCGGTGGAAGATATTTATATGAGAAACTTCTCTATAGGTTTGAAAACCAGACTCTATAAGAACAATATGAAATCGTTTATAAAGACGGCTTAATATTGCTTTGAAGAACAATTTTTACCGTGTATTGTAACGTCCATAGCTTCGTATGAGTTAAAGTTTAAAACAAGAGTTGGAAATCCGATCTTAAATGAGCAAAATACTAAATGGTACCGAAAACAAGTTAAAGAGTATCTGTCGGTTTTGCCACTATTCGTTTATTTAAAAATATTTTGACTTGTGCTGTTGACCCTTTATGGAGGTGGTTCTAAAGAAGTGGGCCAATGTTGTCCATTTCGTATCTGACCTATGTCTGATATAAATGTGGGGGAGGTACCAGAAGGGGCGGACCGATCATTGGGAAGTGTGAAATTTGGAGGGAAATCGAATGCTTTTTTTCGCAAATATGAGCGTTTTGTCCTTCAAAAAATTGATCCGATGTGCCGGAGGTACCCGGAGCAGTGGGCCGATATATTCCATCTTCACGACATATATTGTGTCACTGGTAATATTAGAATGTATCGGATGCTTATTTTGAGTTTTATAATCTTAATGGTTATTCAAAATTTTGATTTTTTTGTGGAGGAGATACCAGTAGGAGTGGACCGATATAATATATCTTTGAAAGTAATCGGATACCCCTATTATGAGCTTGACAGCTATTCAAAAATTTGAGTCATTTCTGCGGGTGGTACCAGAAGGAGTGATCACACCAGATCTTGTAAGGAATGAAAAATAATGGAAAGTGTGAAATTGGAAGAGAAATTTTGACCCTTTGTGTGATGGAGTGGATCGAAATTTCACGTTTTCGCACCTGACATAGCACTGATACAAATATTTGGATTTGTAAAGTTTGAACAAAATCCGATGATTTTTTCTTGTTCTGTGCGGTAAATTTTTTTCTTAAAAATTGTGACTTTTTGGGGAAGGTACCAGAGTGGACCGATATCGCCCATCTACGAACTCGATTTAAGTTTGAAAATAATAATACGATGTACCAAGTTTGGATCAAATTGGATGCCGCCTCTTCGAGAGTTAACGTACGCCCCAGCCTCGCAGACAGACGGACGGACAGTCCTAGATAGACTCCAAATGTCCTAAAACGGATTTGGTCAAAAGAGACCTATGCAGAGGCGAGTTTTGGCCGTGTATGTAGCCATACTGCTGAGGATATAAAAAGGTAAACACCTTTTACGGAGTCTTCTATTCATAGAAGACATTAAAAAGGGTTTTATATTTGGAACAGGTCCAGTGGTTTTTCTATCCCTAAACATTGCCTTTAGGGTGTTCTATACACAAAGGACTTTCTAAAGGTATTTTAACACTGGAAGACCTCTAGCTGGGATCATATCAATAAAAAATCTCTAAATGGTCTTCTATCTATAGAGCAATATAAAAGGATCTTCTACCAATAAAACCTTATCCGGATCTTCCATCGATAAATAGTATTCCTTCCGTTAAAAATCTTTGAATGCTCTACTATCCCTGGAAACATTTATAGCCGTTTTACCTATAAATAATCTCTAGAGGCTCTTCTATCCGTAATATAACCTTTTACCATAGAAAACTTCTAAATATTTTATCCACAGAGGACTTCTAAAGTAGGACCCAAATTATGACAAAATTCCACTGAGAAATGGCGATATTTCTAACTGAGCGTAAAAAGCCTCGTGGTAGGATTATTAAAGACTAAGGAGTCAGGGATATTACATTGGAAGCATAAAGTCAAATAGGCAAGAGAGAAAACCTGGTTAGGCCACCAGAAGCTCTGTTATATTGGTACCGATACAAATGCTATGAATTGATACAGTCATAGTTTGGATTGAGAGGCTCAGCTGAACAAACCTGAGTCTCTAAGTCAACAACAAAAAAGCTTTCAATTTGAATTGCGTACCCATAAAACTTCCCACTTAGATCCAATTCCTTAAAAGGTTGCCCAATTTATAAATTTGGGAACAGAAAAATTGGAGCCAGCCTGAGGAAATAATCGTATATATTAAATTTGTCAATCCGCTTGTAATACCTCCAAATATTGTCGGAGTCCCCATTAAATTTTTATATTCGTGATTAGCATACAATTCTGAAATAACTTAATTATGTTAATTATGTTTGTCGTAGATCTTTGATATTTGAACATGACGTGATAAAGCTTTTTTTTACTATAATAATCTGTGCTTTTTTCGCACTCATTTCCTTTCAACATACATCCATAAACAAGGTCCTAATTCTTTATAGTTGGTTCATTATGCTTTGTCAACAACTAATTGGCGCTCAAATGATTTGTTGCAAATAATTGCAATTTCAGTACCAAATAATTACAAAATAAAATGACCCATTATAATTTTTTAAGTTATTAACAAATTTCCGTAAATTTACCACCCTATTTTTCATTTGATTTGAAACAGTCAATAAATATAACAACTCTCATACAATAAAATTTAAAACGATTAACAACAACTCTTAAGAGTGGTACTCATACTCAATAATCCCACACTCTTACAATGATATCAGACTAATTCAATGGGTGTGTGTGTGAGTGAGGGCGATTATGATACACTTCAAGTGGGGTGACATTGATTCATTTCAATTTAAGTTGAAGAAACCAAAGCAAATCAGTAACAACAACAAATATTTACCCCCAAACAAAGAGAATCACTTACAACCCACTTACTCACATACATTCACTCACGCACACACACACCTCATGCTTTTCAAATAATTACCGGTAACGTTTACAAAAGCAAATGCTGTTACTTTGTTGCGCTGTTGGACATTGCATACTTTTAGGGATGTCATTATTAACTCAGTCGTTGATTGTTTGGTGGGTTGGTTGGTGTTGAACATTTCGCTACAGTTTTTCTTTTGAAATTCCCTTTTTTTCTCTCTGGGTGGCTTTGCCTGGTTTTGGGGTGGTATTCATTCATTGCGCCGCTGTTGTTGTTGTAAACAAACATTGTTAAGTGTTGTAATGATACCATGTTTTGCAGCAGCAGCAAGAACAACAATTAGCTTGTGTTGCAATGTTAAAATCCAGCCACCAATGTACCTTTTGCCTATTAGGGTTCTCAGGAATTTATTTGTGCAGTTTTTGATCCTTAAAAGTGTCGGTCATTATTGTAAATTTATTTGCCATCATTACAATGGAGCGAGGGTGTGGAAGCAAGGGGTGGGGACAACGACGGAAGGAATAACGTTTGCTGTGTTTAATGTCTTTGTTTAACTAGCTCTTGAAACTTCATTAGAAATTGTTCTGAAGCTTTCTTTTGTGCAGAAAATTGAAAAAGGAAGAAATTCATTAAATGAAGGAGGGCTGCTAAAATAATTTACAAAAATTACAACAATTTTGTAATTTGGTCGTGTTTATGAGAGAATCAGAATTAAAGGGGTATAATCGAAATAATATTGGCATAATAGTAGTAGTAATAATAATAATAGTAATAATAATAATAGTAATAATAATAATAAGAATTATAATAATAATAATAGTAATAATAATAATAATAATAATAATAATAATAATAATAATAAAAAGAAAAATCTTTATTTCAAAGTCTGTTGGACCAATTTCGAAACTCGGCACTCTGGAAAACAATAAAAAATTCCCATGTGTGTCACTAAGAAAAAAATCCAATATAAAGGCTATAATTCAAATAATATAGAGATACAAAATTCGACTTTATGTTAATCGATTTTTATATTAAAAAGCATAAAAATCGAAGTTGATACTCGCATAATCGATTTATCGTAATGATTTTTTTTTATTTTCGATATTTGATCGCATTTTAATGCTACGATTAAGTGTCAAAAAATCTATAAATCTTATTCGACTTAGATTTGATTTTTCAGAGAACATTTTTAGAAGAGTAAAAAAATTCAAATTAAACAAGTTAAGTAAGTTCGGCCAGGCCGAACTTTGAATACCCCAAACCATTTGGAAATAATTTGGAAATTTTAAAATAATAAAATCCGTGTAAAATTCTGTTAAAAAGCTATAAAATACCGAATATAGCCGTTATATTGGGGTCTATACGATGTGGACCTACAGAGGCTTTGTTTGTCATAAGCCATTGTCATATTCAAATTCGAAACTTGAATAATGTAGCCAAAAATCATCAAAAAATATCGAATATAGGGAGGTACTGTTGTATCGGAGCTATACGAAGACCTGGACCTGCATAGACAATTTTTTGTCACAGGTTGTAGCATCCATTACGAACTTCAAATACTTCAAATCTCAAACAATTTCGGTGAGTATTGTACCTAAAATCGTCAAAATACCGAATATAGGGAGGTACTGATATATGGGGCCTATACGAAGACCTGAACCTGCATAGAGAATTTTCTGTCACAGACTGTAGCTCCCATTACGAACTCTAAATACGTAATTTGAAACTACTTCGGTGAATAATGACGCTAAAACCAAAAATACCGAATATTCGAAG